ACCATTTATAGAAACTACTTTTATGTGCTCGAATAGCATGTTAGACAGGTTTAAAAAAGGGAATAACAGAAATTCAGGAAAAATTATCTGAGAGTCGGGAAGTGTTTCCATATCTGATGTTGATCCTTTAACGTTAACGAGAANTCTCTAAAAAAAAAAAAAAAAAAAAAAAAAAAAAAAAAAAAAAAAAAAAAAAAAAAGCAGATTACGCCCAAGTCAAAATTTTTGAAAGTTTTCCATTAATAGACCTTGATGGTAACCAACATTAGTAACCATCATCCCAATGTAGGAATTCAGACTGATTTATGATGGTCTATTATTAAAATACCCAAATTGTTTTCATGCTATATTGCTGAGAATGAAGAAGAATTCCTATTAAACCCTCATGGAAATGTATAGTTGGGACCATCATGAACCTTCATAGATCATCATGAATTGTTGGTCTATGAGATTCAAACTTCTCTTGATGGTTATAGAATTAAAGTATCCATCATGGAATGATGGTAGTCTGTTGGCATATCAAAACTGCGAACACGTAGTGAGAAATGTTGGATGATGGTGACCATCAAATGATGTTGGACCATCATGAATCACACTGAAGCCAACATAAACCATTAAATTTTTTTGATGGGACCATCAAGAATTTTGACTTTATATGAATGAAAGGTTATAAAAACCCTCGTGTAGAAAATTTAGATTCCAACGTGAGGGAAAAATGGCTTTTAGGATTGAACCCTTAAGAAATGACCTTTCAAGCTTAAAAGAAGTGCAAAGCACCTTTGCACTTTTATAAATAATCGACAAAATTGCAAACTTGATACACACAAATTACCCTAACCATCAACTCAAGCATCGGAATCAATAATACTTGATCTTTAATTTAAAACATGTACAATGCGAAAAAAAAAACGGAACAGAGTAATTTTTGATCTAATGATCGGATTATCAATAACTAGGACTTAATTTTTATATGATTCGTGGGTCTCACCTTAAATATGCAAATAAGTGCAGACGATATTTAATAGTACGGAAGCAGATACAGAAACGTACTATCTCTGAATAAATGTATATTTTTTTCGACCGATTTGGATTTCCAGCCCTTAAATTATGGGAAGTAGCCGCAAGCTGGAAAATATGGTCCTAATATTTTGGTCAAAAGAGTGGCAGAAAGTATCACCCTATCTCAAGAACTTTTTAAGAAATTTTGAAAATTTTTGCACATAATTATAAAATTTATTTACTCAACGATAATTTCATACGAAAAATAAGTTTGTAATAATCATTTATTAATATTTATTATTTTATTTTTAGAAAATATGGTGCTTATATTTTGGTAAACTGGAAAGTATGGTTCGTATATTTTGGTAATCTGGAAAATATAGTCCTTATATTTTGGTAAACTGGAAAGTATGGTCCCGATATTTTGGTCAAGAGAGTATCATTCTATCTCAAGAAGTTTTTAAGGAAATTTTTGCACACAATTATAAAATTTGGTTTTCTTCAACAATAATTTGATACAAAAAATAGTTTTTAAAAATAAAATAATAAATAGCAATAAATGGTTTTTAATAATTATTTATTGCTATTTATTATTTTCTTTTTTAATAGTCGAGAAAATTTGAATTAAAAGGTACATAAATTTTCACATCTTCTTTTAAAAAATTGTAATTTCAATCAGCATAAACAAAATTTGAACAAATTTGCTCAGAATGTTTCTGAGTCATCAGACTGTTTTTTAAAAAAATAGCATATTTAAAATTTGATTTCTCAAGAACTATTCGATCGATTTCGATCATTAATTAGCATAGTTAAAGTTAGGTTCTCAAACCATAAGGACTGGGTCTTAGTAAGTTGAAATCCGATCATTAGATTTAAAGTTATTCAGAATGTTCACTCTTTTATTTTACTCTTTGTATCTACTAGACTTACTATAATGCTATGAAATAGTTAAAATTCACGATCACCTAATTTTAAGTTAATAAAATTAAAGAATTCCTAACAAATGAAAGATTCTATTATCTAATACCACAATCGTATTCAATTTTAGAACGTTTTTATTCGGACCTCCACAGAAGGGAGCTTCGCACCTGCTCACTCACCGAGTGAGCTTTAAAAGAGATGTGTTCTAATCTGTGAATTGTTAGCAATTATGTCTTATCTTTTAAAAGTCTGCTTGAACATATCACAGGGGCGTCTGAATTCGGATTATGACGCATCCGACAATTTGACGTATTTTGATTGCAATTCAGTAATTGAACCAATTGTAGAAATGAGCGGCGATTAAAAAGCAGTGAAATTATGATTGATCATTTGCTGCTTCTATTAGTGGAGAAAGATAAGAATAGATTTGGCGTAATTGCTCTTTTCTAAATTAAGAGGCCTTCCTTATGGCCACCTTTCATAGGTGGAAAATTATTTTAGCTTTTCTTATAAAAGGAGAAAAAGTTTCAAGATTTTTTTAAAAAGCTGCGTAATATGATGAATGAATTTTTTAAAATTTTTCATTGTAATAACACAACATTTAACTTTTTATGCAGTAGTTTGACAGATTCAGTCAATTATCTTGAAAACTATTTTGTTTTCAGGCGATGAAATTTAGTTTGAGTAAGAAAAAATACTAAAAAACGATAATAATCATCATTAAACAGTTTCAATACATACCAAAGTCAAAATTTTTGATGTTTTCCATTAATGGGACCAACATAAATTGATGGTAACCATCAATAATTCCATCATGAACCATTCTATTTCTTGATGGTAACCAACATGCGTAACCACCACCCATGTAGGAATTCGGACTGATTTATGATGGTTCAACATAAGAATAGCAACTTGTTTTGATGGTTTGTTCATGTTAAACTATCACGAAGTTCCATCATAGTATCTTAGAAATCAAATGTTGGAACGATCATGAACCACCACCATCCCAATGTAGGAATTCTAACTGATTTATGATGGTTCAACATAAATACAAAACAAAATGTTTTGATGGTATATTCCTAATAAACAACAAGATTTCCCATTAAACCATCTTGGAAATGTATAGTTGGAACCATCATGAACCATCACGGATCATGATGGATTGTTGGTCCATGGAATTCAAACTTTTCTTGATGGTTAACCATCATAGTATTAAAGTAGCATTTTCGATCATGGAATGACGGAAGTTTGTTGGCATATCAAGAACCATGAACATGCGACGGAAAATGTTGGATGATAGGGACCGTCAAATGGTGTTGGACCATCATGAATTACACTGAAACCGAGATAAACCATCAAATTTTTTTGATGGAACCATCAAGAATTTTGACTCGTGTAGGCATGATCGTGGTAACACTCATCGGAATTGGCAAGTTTGAAACAATGGTTTACAGATTTGGAAGAAAAAAAATCAAACAGGGGCATTTTTACTGATATATAAACCTCGCACTTTAATTCTGTTCTGAAACTGAGGTAGTTTTAAACCTTCGCATAATTGTTTTATAATATAATTTCGTGTTTTTTCCTCAATGTTCCTTTTTTAAATTTTAAATAAAAAAATTCGGAATTATATTTAGAGAAAAATTACTGGGTTATTTTATGTAGTTTTCTTTCAAGAAAGAATCCAAATTTCTGTTAAAGATTTCTAACAGTCAGAAATTTCAGTTACTTGCTTATTTATGAAATGAAAATATCTATTGGAATGCTATTTATATTATTTTCTGTACGGAGCATAATAAATAAGAAAATGATTTTTTCCTCTTCAACGCTGTTAAATTTTCCGAGTTTGTTAAACCATATTATCGCTCAAATTTGCTGCATCCTTAAACGGGTCTAAAGAGAACCTTATGATATTTCCTAAACTTGACTGTACTATAGTTCCATGAATACTACGATTCCATGATTCAATTTAAACCCTTATTAAGGTTCCAGTAAAATGGTACCGTATTGTGATTCAACGTACTGATACCATGGCTCAAAGTTGACTCGATTTTTCTTAAGGTGTAGCATAGAGTCGATAATTAATAACTGTTTAAGATAATTCATAATCACAATTTTTGGTGATTTTGGGCCTGTCCCTCTTTGACAGCAAGAATTAAAAAAGTCTTCCATTTCTCTGAAAAAAAGTTTTTTTTTAATGAAACTTTTGAAATTTAATAGACTTTTTCTAATAAACGAAGTAAAATTTTTTATGTAGCAATTGTTTATACCCTCGTTGTTGTTTGTCTTCTGAGTTGGATTCCTAGCTGCACATATAAAATGTATTGTAAAATTAGTTTAATAATAATAATAATAATATTATATATGAAAGGGTAGCAGTCATGGTGAGTGGTGTTAGGCCAGTGAAAAAAAAGGGCCAAACCAACTGCAAAATTTATCCTGCAAGGCTTGAAAGGGTAGCAGTCATGGTGAGTGATGTTAGGCCACGCAGATAGCAGTTGGAAGGCAAAAAATATTTTATTAGCTTCACATAGTACATTTAAGACATTTTCCAGCAAAGGCGGAGCTCAAATTCGCCCTCCAAAACTGTGTGCTTAAGTTTTTATCTTAGGGAAAGTAGCAAAGGAATTTCCCTCTATTTTATTATATTTGAGGGGAAAAGGGAAATCCCAAGGATTACTATTGGTTTATGAAAGAGATCGAGCATTTCCCACACAGAGCAAAGGGAAATATGTCCTGCTCTTAATTAAATGCATAGTTGAGCCAAAAATAGATTTAAGAACAGGATGTGGCTTTTAAAAGTGTGAGAAAGAATTTCGAATAGAATAATTAATTAGTAATAAAGTAGGAGTTATTTTATAGCAAAGAAACTAACATAAAAAGATTAATAGAAGCTTTTTATGTTACATACATATATATATATATATATTGGTTAGAGAGAGAGAGAGAGAGAGAGATTTATGAGATAATGTAAGTAATTAAAAGTTCAGATTCATAAAACTGTTTTATCACTGGATTAAACACATAATAATTTAATGAAAACGTATTGTAAATTTCAATTATTTTTTTATTTACATTAGGTGCTGGGATGCCTTAAGAAAAATGGTGTCTGTCCAGGTGTTGAGGCTCTGATTGATTACATTTTCATTGATTTCATCTTGAACTGAAGAATGGTAAAAAAATTATCTGAATGAATCATGTTGGGTAAGTAAACGTTCTTAAAAATAACCTTTTTTAACTTCTGAAAGTTGAATAGCAAACTGTTCCGGCATACAAACTTTTTAAAGCATTTATTTAAAAAAAGAAAAATTAACTATTGCCCAGTAGAGAATGTTTATTTAAAAAAGAGTCTACTTTATTATCCAGTATCGTGTTTCTAATTTTTTTAAAAAAATAGTTACTGAAATAGCCGCCATTGGTGACCAGCTTGGTCATTTTTTATTGGTTTCTTGTATAACGCATGAACTTTGTTAACCTAGTCGAATGCACAGAACAACTATACTTAAATATTTTACATTTTGTAACCGTCGTTGAACAGCCGACCCACTTTTGGGTTTACGATTAATGAAAAGAGAAGAAAAAAAAAAATTTGAAATGAAATAAATAAAATAATTTTTAAAAAAAACTTTAATGTATAAATACATACGCCAAAGAGCCATTACATTATGACCACCCTCCATCTTTAAAAATGGGCTCGCCCAGGTTTTCATGGTTTCTCGCCCAGGAACAATGTTTTCATGGGACACATTAGGACCCATAATCCTCATAGAACAATCCCTGTCGTCTGTAAGCTACTTGAACATAGTTCACCCATTCATGGCAACAGTTTTTCCTGCGGGGGATGGTGTTTACCAACAGAATAATGCACCATGTCATAAGGGTCGAATCGTCGAGGAACATTCCAGTGACTTTCAAGTCATGTCTTGGCCCCCAAATTCACCTGACCTTAATCCTATAGATCACTTGTGGTCCTACTTGGAAAGCCGAATTCGTGCTGCCATGCTACCCCCTCGCAATGTGAGGGAATTGCAGGACCAGTTGGTGAGCTCTAGGTACCAGATACCCCAGACTACCTATCAGCACATTGTGGAATCAATGCCACGGCGGGTGATAGCAGTTTTGAGGGCTAAAGGTGGTCCTACATGTTATTAGCAGGGTGGTCATAATGTAATGGCTCGTCGGTGTATATTAAAAGGACATCACATGAAATAGCGTCTATTTAAATATGCTATTTTCATAACTGCTGTGAATTTACCACTGTTATTTATGACTGCTATGGTGAATTCCGCCCCTCTTTTTAAACGCCTTCTTTGCTGATTCTGAAAATGATCAGTATAAGGAAATGCCAAGGTTTTGTTAAAATGAAAAGCTTTTTGTGATCTAATTTTTTAAATTTAAAAAGTGATTCCAACCAGTGTTACCTGAACTAAGATTGAAAAGTAGCGAATGGGAGCTCCCAAATTAGCGGATTCCAATATTTTGCACCCCCCCCCCCTGAAAAAAAACGTTTATATCTATATACTAAATTTAAAAAAAAAAAAGTATAATTTCAATGCATTGAGTTAAAAATTTCGTCAAATTCAATATTCAATTGATTTTAACCCAGATTAAAAGTCACATAATTTATTTTCCCAGAAGATAATCGGTTAATAATGGTTGGAATTAGAGATTTTTTTTTCTCCATCACTCTTCCCGTGAATTTTCCCATACATATCTTAGCGATTTCAAGATTAAGAACGAGTCTAAGATTTGAAATGTAGATATGAAAAAATAATTGACTCAACGCAGCAAAACAAATCAAGAATCCAAAACTAAAGCGGATTCGTTTTCAACAAAAACTGTCCTTTTTAAAAAATGTAAGGCCTTTTTAATAAATCAACTGCAGACTTTACAGAATCATTATATTACGGGAAAGGAAAAAAAAATAATTAAAAAATTATTTCTGAAGGAAGAAAGTAGCACATTTTTAAAATTTGTAGCGTTTGAAAAATAATGAGTAGCCCAAAAAAACAGCGGGTTGTGGAAATACATGTTATTGAACCACCGATAGATGGCGGAGTTTATCCTTAGATTGTAACCGTAACTGCAAACTAAGATTTTGTAAAAAGCAAGAACCGCCACATTGTAATGTAGTAGTAGCATTGTCTACCATTGTACCGTATTATTCATGTTAACTATTTAAATATATTTTTGTTACTTACCCCTTGGTAATTATTGAGTAGTTTTCCTGTGTCATCAAGAAAACGAGAGAAAAGAATATATTCACTAATAATAGTAATAAATCTTCGGTGTATTTTACCCTATTAGAATTGGTTTAAGTTGAAAAGCGAAACGGGTAGACCAAATTCGATTTTCAGTAGCGGGGGCTTTTAAAAGTAGCTCTTGTTGTAGCCTTGTAGTTTAGTCGCTACTTATAGCCCAACCTGGCAACACTGATTCCAACGTTGCATTTTCTGGCATTACAATAATTTCGCAAAGAACTGAGAATTATTCATTGATTCTGATAATTTTCATCTAGATGGAAAAATCTATCTATATATATATATACTTAATGAACAAAATTAAAATATTGAAAACTCGTTTTTTCTATCAACACTCATAACGGTAGTGGGTTTTGACCTTCTGTGAAATATATCTGCATGCAGATTTTTTTTCCTGACAGATCTTGCCAATTCCATATCCAAATGGCTTTGAAGTTTACACTAATTAAGTCCAGTCATAGAAGGTTTGATTATCCTTCTGTTCTACTACCCATTGATTTATGTGTGCAAAACTTATATGTTGGGTAATTTGTATTGTATATAGGGTAACTTGAAATTGTAAATAGGCTCTGCAAATCTCATTGTTTGTCTTATATATACTAGGTCTAGTTAAGTGCCCCTGCCCGATATACCCATTATCAATGTTATTTTAAGGTTCAGTGCCACTGCCTAGTATGCATCCCGCACTCCGAACACTTTTGTTTCTCCTAATCCATCCTCAGCAGATCTATCCTCAGCAATCTATCCTCAGCAAATATCGAATAAATATAACAATATCAAAGATTAAATTAATATAAAATCGGATATAACAAATACTTCAGACATTCACCACAGCGACCATGTGATTGTTGACATTCACCGGTGAATGTTGACATTCTCTTGATTTCGGTCATTCACGGCCATCGATCAGCTGATCAACAGATCCATCGATCAGCTGATCGATCGACTGAGCGGATAGCAGTATTGCTCACATATCATTTTGTGTCTCTTTTTATGAATGTTGATCTAATAAAAGTTGTAAGACCATTTAGAGGCCGTTCATTAATGATGCCACACTATTCAGAATTTTTTTTAACCTTCATCTCCTCTCCTTTGTCATAAGATGTCACACTTCTCCTTTGTCATAAGATGTCACACTTCTCCTTGGTCATAAGATGTCGCACTTCTCCTTTGTCATAAGATGTCACACTTCTCCTTTGATATAAGATGTCACACTTTACCATAACCTCTTGTCAAGTTACGTTACATAAACATATTTCAGAAGATCATAAACAAATCAAACGTTATAGTTTCGACCGGCACAGCTTGGTTGGTATGGAGCTGAACTCACATTTGTGAGAACGAGAGTTCAAATCCAGCCTGCCGAAGACGATAAATTGTAATCGAGGACACTAATTGTTTGTAGTAAATAGTAATTGGTGCACGTTAGATCTGTCACAAAGTCCACCATGCTCCTATGTCTAATCAATACCTCTGGGGGTTCTGAAGTGGTGTTCTTTCTCTGGTTCAGGTCAAAATTACGATCTGCGGATGAATGAATGGATCTGCCCTATAAACTTGTGTGACGTATGCGTGTGGAAGAAGTCGAATTCTTGGCCATAGATGGCGCCACTGGAAAACAAGAACAATCAAACCCCCTCTGCCTTAATGGCCGACGACAACAACAACAACGTCATAGTTAATATTTATTTTTAAGCTTCGACAAATTTTTTAAATGGTCAATAAGAATGTTTACAAGTGTAATTATTTTGATGAAAAAGTTGAAAAAATATAAAACATAAATATTTAATCTGTTGATTTTAGATATTTTTATTTTAACCAAAATTTGAGATACTGATGGGCTTGTAGTCACCACCTCCCTTGTCGCAAACTGTCACAATTTCAGGAATCCCTTCCTTTCTCTGCAAGTGTGACTTCATTTATCGATGTCTCTTTAGGCATCTACTAGTTGACAGTATTCGTTTTTTAACTTTAATTTTTATTGTTGTTATCTGAATTAATTACAGTTCTCAAATCACAGAGGTTTTTTAAGGTTTTCAAGTCCATGCGTATCAAGTTCAAAAACATGATTTTTAGTTCTATTTTTAGTCGGGACAATATATTTTAATTTTTCCTCCATTTATTTTAAGGCTAATAAAAATCAATAAATTTCTTATTTAACTTTGGAATGCAACCAATGCATTCACCTTATGGGAATTTCGGAAGAAAAAAAACCCGTGTAACTGCAACCATCTCTCGTGATTACGAGAGAAAATGACGTAACACTTGTATATTAAACATCTGATTATTTTAAAGTAGGAGATTCGATATCCTTACACTCAAGCTCATCACACACAGCTTTGCAAAAGAGATTAACTATCATCCTCCGTTGCTGGAAAAGAAGATCACGTGATCGGGAAGAAAACATTCGATCTAATATCATACGCGACAAACAGATTAAATTCCTCTCATCTCTTTTACCAATTCCAATTAATTCTTTGTCAAACATGCTCCTTGGAAGTAAATTTTATTTCCAGCTTCTCAAGTGCGATGAGGAACTTTTCTGAAGAGGAATGAAATATTTCCGTTTTCCAAATAGAATTTCTTTGTTCTCAATCATTGGAACTATTACGTTGATCTCATGTGAACCAATATTGTCAGCAATCGTTGATCCGCTTAACATCGCTGATTATTTATACTCTAACTCTTCTGTTGAAAATCGTTTAATTTAATCCGTTTAATGTTTAGTTAACACGCATAAAAATTAAAGAAATGTTTTGAGCAAAATTTTGCAACTTTTACGCTACAATTAGGAATTCTTAAATATCGATAATATTGATTCATATCAGATTGGTATAAATAATTTTCAATAAAATTTTCCTTTATATTTGTTATTCCTGTTCATAACAACTTATGTCACATGTCAAAAATGCAGTACTCTGGTCAAATTATGCCACCAAATGAGACTTGTTGACTGTGGCTTATAAGGATTGAGATAAACTGTTGACGATGAGCAATTGAATATTACCAATATTATAAACAGAAATCAATTAAATATTACAGCTACTAAAAATTAATTTTTTTATTTTACCGAGTTCAATATAGTTGCTACGAGCAATTTAAATAATTTGAATAATAAATTCGAAACGAAAGGAAAGCAAACCGAAATTTTAACGATATATATTTCATATAAATATAGTATCATAGTATCTTTATATTTCCTTACTTTGTATTTTATGTATGTAGGCGCGTCTTTACTAGTGTTTTCTTAGTGTACTTTTAACTTGTGATTTTTGTGTAGCATTGGATTTTAATCTTTATTTCAATATTTGATTTTCTTATTTAGTTTTTCCAATATGAGGCTTCGGGGGCACAGTCAGCTTTTGGTTCAACCACTGACTACAGAAAGACACCAGTGTGTCCCCGGATGAAGTGCTGTTTTTGCTAACTTACTAATCTTTAAAATTTCGTTTTGCTTATTTTTGGTTTTTAACTTTTTATTTAAATTGTTTACAAAAGACAAATTTGGTATTAGCTGCTTTTAGCGCTTTTTCATTTTTACTTATCATTTTAAATTTTTTATCCTAAAATTTTTTATTCTAAAATTTGTTTAAATCAGTTTTATACTTTGATTGGATATAGTTGCTACCTTAATTTTTCTGATTAAATACAGTCGAACTTCTATTTAGCGAACTTCCATTTTACGAATTTCTCTATTTTGCGAATATTTTCGAGAAACCAAGAACATTTTGGAAATTTCTTCCTAAAATAACTTCCAAATAACGAAGTGAATTTTCTATTTAACGAACTTTTCATTTCCCTATTTTCCAAAATATTTCAGAACATTTCAAACTTGCTAACGCATTTTATGGAGAAAATGACCTTGAATTAATTTTCGACGCCTCTGCTTTATGTAATGTTTTACTGCTTTCTCTAAAAGTTATTTTAGTAAAAACAGTAAAATCCATTTCCTTTCTTTTGTGCATTTCAAACAAAATACTCAGTCCAAATTATTGGATTTTATCAGTAGCAATTAAACTTAAAAACGCATGTGGTAGTGTATGTTTAAAATTACTTTTGTAATAAATGCAGCTATAATTTTATACATAAATTTAGATTTTTTTTTTAGTTGAAAATGTATCTAGCAAAATAGTGTAACACAGGATAATGTTTTGTTCTATTCTTACTTTTGATGCAAATTTCTTTTATGGTTAAGAATTATAAAATAAGTAGTTAATACTAATTTACAAGATAACGGTGCATCAATTGCTGTTTTAATTATGCCTACTGTTTATGAATTTAAAATCCTGTTCTGTGTTGTTTAAGTATTTTAAAAGGTGATTTTCTATATAACGAATTTTCCATATTACGAACTTATTATCGAGATTTAGCGACTTCGTTAAATAGAGGTCCAACTACTTGAATTCTGATGTAGCAGAATCAGAAGAAGCTAGTAAATTCATTTCTTTTTGGAGATGCTTTGTTCAAGCTATCGCTTTTGCCAATCGTAGTTACTTACATCATTACCAAAACTTACAAAAAGGACTTACTAAAACATATATCAGTATCGTTAAAAATATATTGATATTGATAACAATAGGCTAAAACCTAAGTCGCAATTTAGTTTTGAATAATATCGATACTTCGTTTCGATAGTATTGAGTTCTATTGATACTTTGTTTCGATAATATCGGGAATTGATGTTAACCAAAGGCTGTATCGATTAAAAAATTCTTTTAAAATACTTTCAAAAAGTTCATTTGAACTGAAGCTATCTTTAATTTGCTAAGACTGGAATTCAATTGTTGTGAAAAATTATATTTAGGAAGAACTTAATGAGAACTTGAACTCTCAAAAAATTTAATTTAAATTGCCTTATCCTGAAATATTCTTTTTATTATCTCTGTGAAAAACTTAGTTTTATGAAAAATTTATTTAAAGTTCTGTCTAATATGAAACTTTAAAATCGAGTTTTACCTTTGATAACAGTGTGAATTTGTGTTAAAAAAAAGTTGTTTATTTAAAAGTTTGAGTAAATTTTTTTTAGAAAAATTAAATTGGTTTTTAGTTATTGATTTATTAAAAGTTTGTATTGATTTTGGATTGTTTTTATTTATCAAATTGAGTTTTAATTGCTTTTATATTCGAATTTTTTTAAAAGCTTGCATTAGTTTATATTTTTCAAACGTTCGAATTGATTTTTCAAACCTGATACTTTAAAAAATTGAATTTAATTACTTGGATTTGGAAAATCAAACTGCTTGTTTTTAAGAGCTTCATTTCAGGTTTTCAAAAAAAAAGTTGAATCTCCAAGCGTTCTCCAATTGATATTTCTTGAAATCTGCATATAGGTTATCTGAGAAATGAGCAGCTGGACTCTGATGATGAGGCTCACATCCATAAAACAAGGAAGGCAGATGTCTTTTGGTGATCGAAGATAATTTGAGATTGACTTTTTTTTAATGATGGGCCCTTTGACAAGTGTTGAGACAATTTTGCAATTACGGCCCGCGCTTCTCTCTTCGTTTTGCGAATGCCCTATCTATGGACAGATAGTCGTTTGCGGCACTTCTACCTCCACACTTTGACAGCCCATAAAAATAGAAGATAGACGCTGGGGTAAGTAATGGCTGCTTTTTTTCCTGGCTTCTTTTTATCATTTTCTTAATTTTATGTACATACTCTTGCATGAGATATAGTGATCCATAAACACCTTATTTTAATTTTATAT